TGAGCAGTTCTGGAGAACCGGTAGCGGAAATTTTGAGATTGAAAGAACCGGCCAATCCCACCCCTGACTGGCCCCGCCAATCCCATCTCTTCTCTGCCTCCCATTGAGTCCCAGCTGATCGGCTGGGTCTCCTTTGGTTGCCCTGCACAGGAGAATGGAGCTGGAAAGCAGGTTAGCAGGGTGGGGAGGGAAGGGGGATTTTGCAGTAACCTTCCCCTGCCACGCCCACCAAGCCACTCCCACAGAACTGGCAGTAAAAAAATTTGAATCCCACCACTGAATTTGGGGTGAATGTTTCTCCACCTTTACAGTTTATGGATTTCATCTCCACTGCCCCATTTACAATGAGATCAGGGCCCAACTTTTGATGGCGAGTAAACTCAAAGAGTTCTTGAAATATTGACCTGTTTTCTTGCAGGCAGGTATCCAACTATCAGAACCAACCCGCTACATTTACTCTGTTGTCATTTAAACATAGAAAGAAAAACGTATGTTCTTAGTTGCAGCTTTGACTTCACCTTGCTGTAACCTTTTTTCTTCTAATACCGTTCTCTTTTCATGACTTTCTTTTAGAATCTTAATAGTTTATTTTTATTACAGCCTCTGGTTAGACCAATAAACTCAACTCAGTTACCATAAAGTCTTCTTTGAGATGGAGGCTTCAGCAGATATTAAGGGAAGGGGGGGAGAGCCTGTGTCCCCAAAATGTTGATGTCAACTCATAAAGCATTCCTGGCTTCCTTTTGAGTTGCCATAGGGAGGTGCGGGAAAACCCTGAAGGAGCAGCAAGACAATAAAACAACAACAACCAGAAGTACATTCCACACATACCTCACCAAGGCATCTCCCAGGTTACTGATCCGATTGGAGGAGTGTGATCTCTAGAGCCCATGAAAGTCCTCGGTTGGAGAATGTGATTTATGACACACCAGCCATGAATGTAAGGCATCCAGAAAGTATCCATGATATGAATCATTCCGAGACATATTCTCTCCAGTTGATTTATTTAGGAACAGATCTGGTACATCTAAGGCAATTTCCCAAAGTGAAAGTATTTTTGTGCGTTACACAGAATCCACCTTCTCTCCTCCCACTTCTACACTTCATAAATCACGAGAACCAGTTAACTGCAACTAGAATTTCTTAGTACGACTTACAGAATAACCTTGAACTTTTCAACTCCTCCACCCCCCTTTCATTATGTGGAGCTTTGATTATGTGTCAAAGCTGACAATGAAAATGCTCTGGTTGGAGAATGTGATTTATGACACACCTGGGGGGAGGGGGGAAATGGGCTGTGTGGGGACTCCTGGGAGGGGACGGTGGGGCGGGATGGGCAGGAGCAGCCAGGGGTGGGATTTGGTGGTTCACTGAACTGGCCATAATATTAGCTACGGGTTCTCCCGAACCCGGGCAAACCTGTAGCAGCCCACCCCGGGGGACCCCTGATGTGAATGTAAGAAGCACTGACTGGTTCAGCAACTGACTGGGATAAATGTGTTGTGGGTGTCCACTCTGAAGCTGGCCTGACTGAGGCCATCTTGGAGGTTTCAGTGTGGCCACAATGGTGCTCACATTTAGGGAGGAGGGAGAATAGAGATAGCTGAGGCTTTGTAGCCAAAACAGAATAGTTTCCCCTGAGAACCAAGGTCATTTCTACAGGTGGCTGAAGAGAGGAGGAGTGAAGTTGCCAAGCAACTGGACGGCACTTTGATTGGACTATGTGACTATTTGGGAAAGGGGGGAAAAAACGTTTACTTTTAATTAGGTGAAAAGCGTGGGAATCTTTAGAGTCGGTTTTCACCAGTCTGTGCCAATATGATATATCCAATCAACCTGTTCTTTGAGGAACCTGCTTGCCATGGAGTTCTGTTTGCTATGGGTGTATTACTTGGAACTCTGAGGGTGGGTTCAAGCCCACTGTGTTGGTCTTGGAGCAAATATCTCTATTGTTCTTATGTATAAAAGGCCTTGCTTGGATTGGAGACCAGGTTTAGATTTCCTGCAAAAAAAAAAAAAGGAGAATAATTATCTTTGGAATTTGAGGGTGAGATCTGATTTGATTCGAGTAATATTGTACAGTGTTAAATAGATGGTTGTGATGTATGTACATATAGGTTAATATATGGTAGATGAAATTTAAAAACATAAAGAATATCATTTATTTTTAATATCGCTTATTATTAGCATTGTAAAGGTTTTTAAGTACTATTTCATTTAGAAAAAAGTTGCATTTTATTATTGTCTCTGTACTGGAAAAAGTCAGAGGTCACTTTTGAATATATTTGCTTTTTTGGTTTTCCAGGGTCATTTTTTAACTCGTATTTTATTGTGTTTTTGAAATTGAATAAAGATATTGTATGTCTGGCAGACTGAAACAATCAGCGCTGATGAAAGGTGTATCAGAGAGATAAAGGAGTTATTTCATTGGCTCAAGAGGTCATCAACTTTCTTTGATCAAAGAACGAAGGGCTGGCAAGTGTTGTTGAGTTTTATGAGTTCTTGTGACAGATTAGAAAAGGGAGATAGTAACATCAGAGGCTCTTTCATGCAACTGTCTACTAAAGTTATTTCTTTAAAAAAAAGATAATCTATTCATACATTAAAAATAACAAACAGGGTATAAATACATTAAGAAGATTCTGGAGGTGTTAAATATTATTTTTTAAAAATGGTGTACATTAGTACATTAAAAATAACAAATGGTATATAAAGATAATCGCTAAAAATATTCAAGATAATAAAATGTTCTATCAATACATTGAAAAGAACATATGGCCTGTAAGCAGTTATTTTATTATTTTAAAAATAATAAAAAATTATCTATAAAGATATTAAAATAGGAGAACATAAATATGTATACAGTACTAATCTATAAATATATTGAGAATAAAAAACTGTATGTATGTGTGTATATGTATGTATATATATATTATGTACATGAGCATGTGGGTGTATATCTGTGTATATATACACATACACTTACATGCTCTTCTCTGTCTCTGTCTCTCTCTGTGTGTCTTTCTGTATCTCTGTCTCTCTCTGTCTCTCTGTCTCTGACTCTCTCTCTCTGTTCTCTCTTTCTCTGTCTCTGTCTCTCTCTCTCTGTGTCTCTCTCTGTGTCTTTCTGTATCTCTGTCTCTCTGTCTCTCTCTGTCTCTCTCTCTCTCTCTCTCTCTCTCTCTGTGTCTCTCTCTGTCTTTCTGTATATCTCTCTCTCTCTGTCTCTCTGTGTCTTTCTGTATCTCTCTGTCTCTCTGTCTCTGACTCTCTCTCTCTCTGTTCTCTCTCTCTGTATCTCTCTGTGTCTCTGTCTCTCTCTGTCTCTCTCTCTGTCTCTCTCTCTGTGTCTCTCTCTGTGTCTTTCTGTATCTCTCTCTCTCTCTCTGTCTTTCTCTCTGTGTCTTTCTGTATCTCTCTGTCTCTCTATGTCTCTGTCTGTCTCTGTGTCTCTCTCTCTCTGTCTTTCTGTATCACTCTGTCTCTCTTTCTCTGTCTCTGACTCTCTCTCTCTCTGTTCTCTCTCTCTGTCTCTGTCTCTGTGTCTCTCTCTATGTCTCTCTGTCTCTGTCTCTGTCTGTCTCTGTATCTCTGCATCTCGCTCTCTGTCTCTGCCTCTCTCTATACACACACACACACACACACACACATGCACGATTCCATAATTATATAAAGTTGTACTGTGTGTAAATTTATTTTTAAAAGTGTTTTATAAATTTGCTAAAAATTAACAAAGATGGAAGCAGAAGGAGAGGCAGTTTCTTCTCCCCCGGGGATTCTTACTTTATTGCAGCCAACTTAACTGTGGCCTTTTTTGCAGGGCTGTCATCTGATTAAAAGCTAATGATTGCATCCCTGCTGCAGGAAAATATTTTTTTTGAGTTTTGTGTCCCAAGCAAACGGAAACCCTGAAAGCAGAAAACTCTGCTTCTGAGACGGAGTCCAGTGGATGCTGTCGGTGAATTGCAGAGGCATCTCAGATTGAGTGGGATGTTTTGGGGTTGTGGGAAATCCAGAGTTCTCACTCTGTTGGATGAAACGGCAGTTAAAACACTAAGAGGCAATTGTTGTGGTTTGCCGGCAGCAGGTGCGGACGGCTGAGGTCTCGGAGAGTGAGGACTCAGGTGAGGGGCCTGTGTGTGATGCAGGGATGGGGGCAGGACCATCAGGGAGTGGAGTGCTGCCTTCGGAGATTGTGGGGGCTGGCAGCAGCGATGAGGAGGTTCCCGAGGAGCCTGTGCCAAGTGCACATGCGCACAGGATTGCTCGTAGAAAAGAGCAACTACAACAGCATGGGTGACTCGGGAGTAAGGCTGCAAGGTAATGGCCCCTCCCTTAAGACAGAAAAGCCAACTGAGAAATTGGAGTTCTTTGCAGGAAGCAAAGAAGTTTTTGCACTCAAGCCTTGTGGACGTTTGGAGTATCTGAGTTGGTGTTTGGAGACTCTTCCTGTTTGAAACATTTCTTAGTAACTTTATCTGGTGTTCTTGGCAGCCTTGCACAACCTTGGCAAGGTTCGTTCTTATCAGAGACAATTAGTTTGAAACAGCCTTTTAACCAGGAAGGAACAGAATTTGCAAATAATTATTAAAAAGTTTTGCTGTTACCTCTGTTTCTTCTTTGTTTCTTTGGAACAAGGTTTGGGTCAGAACAGCAATTTGGTTTATATTTCTGCCTAGAGCAGTGCTTGTCAACTTCGGCAAATTTAAGACAGGCGGACTTCAACTCCCAGAACGCAACACTAATATTGGCAGTGTTCAATTCCCAGAATGCAACTTCAAAAGGGGATGGACTTCAACTCCCAGAATTCCCTAACAACTTAAATTTGCCAAGGTTGAGAAAAACTGGGCTAGCACATGTAACCAGTGAAGTTTGTTGGTGTTAATCCAGATTTAAGATTTGTAGTGTTATATGAACTTAACCAAATGTGAGATTTTATTCTTGCAAAAATGGAATCAGTGGTGATTTTAATTCCTTCTTGGATTGTTTCCTTGCTCCAGGAGAACCTGATACCACCAAAGTCTGTGAAAGGGAATGCCCCAACTATTTAAAGAACAAACTTCCTTCGAGTGTACTAGAGGGCTACACAATTAGCATCTGCAGAGCCAAGACGTCAATCATGTAAGTGCCTTTTTGTCACAATATTTTTCTCTTTCCAGTTCAAAGACTCAGACATGAATTCTATGCTGATTTTTTAGAGTCTTTGCACAGAGCTCAAGAAGGATATTTAGCAATAGCACTTAGACTTATATACCGCTTCACAGTGCTTTTACAGCCCTCTCTAAGCGGTTTAAAGAGTCATCCTCTTGC